GTTGACTTTTTGTGTATCAAAGGTTAAGTCATTCTAGTTCTAATTAATATATGGATTATGAGTTTGAAGCCAGTCCATCCCCAGAACTATTAGAAAAAGTGATGGAAAGGCTAAATCAAATCTAGCCTACAGGTTCTCGATATTAAATAGCAAAGATCCAGTGTGTGTTTAGAGATGGGCTTTGGACACAAAAAGTCAACCATTAATAGCTTCAACTTGAAGTAGAAATCAGCTGATTTTGTAGGGTGAACATACTTATTGTGATGATGGATTCTATGAATCCATCATACTAGGGTCTGCAGTTGCGTTTCCAAGTCCATTGGTATAACCAGAATATTTTGTGTTGGAGGTCTGGGCTTCCCTTAATTTCTGGGTCCCCGAGCCTCTGACTCTTTGGAGACTGGAACATACTCCATACCCAGAGACCAAAAGGGCTAGTATAATATTAAAGAAAGATTTGTTTTTTTACAATGAGATTTGCCTGCTGATATAGCCATAAGGTCTGCTATTCTTCACCATTCCTAAATGTCTTCATGAATTACAAAAACCAAGTAAGTCTGGAGACTTATATCAGTTCCAGTCAATAAACAGAGCAGGTGTGCATTCTTTTCATGGCTTCAAATCACAGGGAGAGATAAACACTTCTCATGTACAGGATCCCATTTAGATTTGTTTGCATTGCGATACCCGGTTAAAAAGCAGCTCCCTATCTATTATTCGGTGTTCCAAGGAAAATGGTTTAATAAATGAGGTCAAAGTACTGTAGTTATTATCTATTCAGTAATTGCACAAAGATAATATTCTTAATAGGTCTATCAGTTACAGAAGGGTTGTGGCAACTAAGCAATGTATTTCAAAAGAAACTTGGACTGCCTAAACCTGTCAAGGCTTGCCTATCATGCATCTTTGCACAACTGAAATATTTGCATTGAATGGTGGAATATAATTGTGCCCTTAATGTTACAGCCTGTCTGATTAATGTTTATTTTACATATGTGTTCAGAGATAGCCAAGCATTCCTGGAAAACATACAGGTATAAAAATAAATTAAAAGTCTTACAAGATTATAAATAGTCCTTGTTTTACTGTCAACTGCATAATTTATCTGACAGGAGATAGCCATTCTCATCTCATGTCACCCTGAAACACTGAAGCTACACGGGTGCTAAACGTAAGAGTTCTGGAGTCTGCAGTTACTTGGTATGACAATCCATATAATTATACATGAACAATGGGGAAATCACTACTTCAACAATTAAAGTATTTTGTTTTAAAGCTCTTTCTTCCATGTTTACCTTTTGTGAACATGTTATTTTCACAAAGTACAAGCAACAGAATATGATTAATATCCATAGAATATAATCATGTTATGTTTACCATCCCTACAGATGTAGTAACACAGTTCTCAGTAGCCTAGCAATTAAACCAGAACATTTTTTTCTTGCTAGTATCCTTCCTGCACATTTAAATGCAGATCAGATTCTTTCCATCTACACTAATGTGTAAAACTCCCAACCCTATCAAAAATCTACTGCACTCTTGGTTTTTGTTACTAGCAAGGATGTTTAAAGCAAAATACTAAACTTGATGGGTTATTTACAGAAGATTGTAGACTTAAGCCCTGACATCTTCAGGTGAGTCTATAACAGAGAGTTCCTATCAGTCAGTTTAGACATTTAAAATAATTCAACTGTCCAATGATCTGTTTAGGACTACCACAGCAACCTGTGTCAAAAAGGAATCAGTTCAGATTAGGACTCAGAGCTGTTCACATTTAATTAGAGGTAAGTTCCATTGGAAGGGATGAATTTACTTTCAAATAAATGCCAAGATGCCAGCTGTAAACCTTCCTAGTTTTAGATGGTTTCCTCCCCAGTGAGAATCAGTGCAATGCAGCCGTTTAGAGACCAAGCTACAAACCAGAAAACCTGGCGCTGAATTAGTCTCCTGTTCACCAAGTGGCTTTTCCTCTGTGTTAGGAATTTGAAACTGACCAACTTCAAAGGCTTGCTGGAATCCTTGTAACAATTCAAGGTTTATGATTTCCAGAGGGGGGTAGCCTTAAAATAGTGGAAGACCCAAACCAAACAAAAAATGCTAAATAACAAACAGGAGTCTTCGTTCGGGAAACTTTAAAGAGGTGCATTATTAAGGCATGCATTTGATCAAATGGACTACTTATATGGAAGCATGTGCCAATCGTTATGCCACAAGTCTTTTAGGCATCTGAACTGCTTCCTGCACCTAAAGGCTATGCTTTATTACAAAAAAACAAAAAAAAAGGAGCGCAAAAATAAAACAAGCTGTTTCATTTATCTAATTTAGGGTTCTTGGGGTCTTGCAAACGTCTTACTGCAGGTGCCTCTGCTACTGATACCTCCCAGCTCTGCTTCCTCAAGCAAGGGAAAACTTTGTTTGTATTTTGTGCAAAGTGCTAAGATTTTGAACCGAGCAAGTTCTGGATCCTGTGCAAAGAAAACGGAGGGCAGACCGATTCCACCAGCAACAGGTTTTCTGCCCCGCCTGAGCCACTCTTAGATGTTCGTGAGGAAAACAGAAGGGAGCGTCAAAGGTTGCGAACTGTTTCCTTCCCTTAGCAAATTGGACGCTTTCTCGTTCTCCCCCAGCTCGGAAAAGAAGCGTGGGCTTCGGATCGCCCCCCTTTCTCTCGTTTCCCCTCAACCTTTTCCTTCCAGGGGACCCCGGTCGACTTACCTTCCGTCGAAGTCCCCTAAAGTCTCCAGGTAAAGCCAGGATAAAACCAGGAGCCTCAAAGAGAAATCCATGTCGAGAAGAAGGGAAGGCAGGCAGACAGACAGACACAGACAAGGGGAGAAAAGACAGGAGAGGGAGAACAGCCCCTGGGTCTCCCGACCGCCGGCGGCAACAGCAGGTTGTGAGGAGAAGATGCAAGAGGGGAAGGCGCCGGAGCGGCCCCCACCCCGGCTCTTCTAGGAGGCGCCCTCAACTCAGCCCAGCGCGCCGGGAACTAAACGCCAGCGGGGGCCTCCGGGGGCGCCCGGCTGCAGCTAATCCGAGTCCTCTCAGGAGGCGAAGAGAAGAGGTCGGCAACAAGGCAAGCGGCAGGAGGGAGCCTCCGCCCCCCCCACCCCGCGCTACCCTGCGCGTCCCAGCCTGGCGCTCCCCTCCCCTCTCCTCGGAGGCGGTCTGGGGCGCAGGCGTGCGCGTCTCGGCTCGCCCTTCGGGGTAGCGTGGGAGAAGCGCGGCGGAGAGCCTTTGGCCGAGCCCAGCGCCGGGTTCCCTGCAGAAGGGAGAGGGAGAGAGAGAGACACGGCGGCCGTTTTCAGGGGGCTTTCTTGGAAGCAAACGGAGGAGGGGCAGCAAAAGCGCGGGGCCTCGGATCGTGTTTATTGGTGGGTGTCCCAAAGGAAGCTCAATTTCGATGAAGATCTTAATTGCTCGTGTCGGGGTCTGTTTCTTTTGGGGGGGGGGAGGGAGATCAGCCCCGCTACACTTCGTGGGGGAGCATGAAGTACCGTTTATCCAAGGCAATAAATCAATAAGCTAAAACATAATGGGAAGGAAATAATGGGTAACCAGCACGTTATTTTATTTCATGTATATCGCAACGCTTCAGATGGGTCCCCCCCCCCCCGCCCGCCCGCCCCGTTTCTTTCCAGTCAGTTTCTGACTCCTGGTGAGCGCCTGAATGAATCTCTGCGGTTTTCCTCTCAAGATCAAGATTTCGGAAGTGATTTGACGTTGTCTGCTTCCTAGGGCTGAGGAAAAAGTGATTGGCGAAAAGTCATCGGGCTATCTAATAATTCAGGGTGTCCCAAGTTTCTAGCCTGATGCTTTAACTACTTACTACTACACCAAACTGGCTCTCTGGATGTCTTCTTACCACGATGTAAAAACTAGAAGTGTAAATAAATATAACAACATTAAAGAAGTGAAAATGAAATCCAATTGTCAAAACAATTGAAAATGAAAAACTTGATGAAGAGGTGCTGTGGGCTGTCTTCCTAAAAGTTTTGAGTGTAGGAGTCGACTAGGTCAATAGGGAGTACATTCCATAACTTCAGAGCTGAAGGAGATGATGCTTTCCCACATTCCTATAGTAAAGGTTCAAGCAGGATGAGAAGGCATCTTCAGAAGAGTTCCAGCAGATTTGTGTAAGCAGGACAGGAACAAATGAGGCCCTAAGCTACTAAGAGCTTTAAAGGTCCCTACGAAGACCTTAAATTGTGCCCTATGAGCAATGCCCATCAGTCCAGATCAGGGGTCTCCAACTTTGACAACTTCAACTTCCAGAGGGGAATTCTGGGAATTGAAATCCACAAGACTTAAAGTTGCCAAGGTTGGAGACCCCTGGTCCAGATTATACACCACAGAATCCATATTATAGTAGCTTGACCACATCATCTCTACTTGCTCAGTCAATAGCCAGTTGTACTTTCCAGTTTCTTTAAAGTGTAACCTACAAAAGGAGCTTGTAACTTAGGCATTGATCCAGTGTTGTTGTGTCAAAGCAGCATAGGAAGTATTGCACTTGATGCACTGAGTATAATTATGCAAATGTGCTCCTTAGCAAAGCTGGCACTTGCAAATCCACAGTCAGCTAGAGATGAAGAAGCAATCCCAAACTGTGAACCTGCTTTTTATGGGGGATGCATTCCCACCCAGAACGAGTTTCACTTTGATCCCAAGTTTAGCAACTCATTGTTCTTGGAATTTAATTTTGGCTGTTCCTTATGCAGCCCATCATTGAGACAGCATTCAAGGGTACTGATTCTTTCTTTGGAGTTAAAAAGTAGGTAGAAGGATAGAATTGCCATGGGGGTCCTGTTAAGATTTCTCCAAAAAGATTAGATATCTTTGATATTAAACAGTATGAAAGAACCATGAAAGACATAAAAGAACCATGTAGCATTCCATAGGTCAATATCTAGTGGTCAAACGATATTCTTCCAGCACCACCTGCTGGACACTGAAATAAAGTTTGGTGTCCTTCCAAAACCATGTCCCCAAGGCCCAAGTCATTAGAAAGCCTGAAGGTAGAAAGCAACCAAGAGATCCAATAAAAGGTGCATAGCATCAGCTATGATCTCTGGCATAAATCATTTTTCCAGATGACAAAGTTATCTTACTATTTTATCTTGGAAGGAACACTATTAAAATGAGTATGGTGCACCTGGAATTGTGATGTCATCACTTCATCAATATCTTATCCAAGAGTAGAATATTTGAGTAACCTATCATAAAGATTTTTCAAGTTTAGTATGCAGGTCACATTCCACACTCAGGAAAGAATTGATCACCTGCCTTAATTATGAAGTCTATTGAAAGTGGCTGTTTTATTCTGCTTGGAAGAATAAGGAATGAACAAGTAAGTGGTAGCTTTCATTGCCACACATCCTGTCCATATCCTCAGATGAAAAGAATACGAACATGACTTGTCTCAAGAGTAGAGTCCAAATAGAAGCAGACCTGATTAGCTTTATTTGCAGAAGCAAACAAACCAGTGAAAATTCCTGAGCTGGATTCTGAATTTGGCACTCTCCCAAAATCCTGATGGAGTTGCAGCATTTTTTCCTAAAGCATAGGACTGTTTTGTGCAGACATAATAGAGGGAGGCATATCCTTATGGCAATTGCTGCCGCAGATATTATTTCAAGTGTCTTAAGAGTGCAGCAGTCTAAAAATTAAATGATAAATGGGCCTAAAAAACCCTATGGTTTGGCCTGATTGCTCATATTTCCGCTATTTGTTCTTTTGTTTACTTAATTGTTCTCACTTTTCTGAAAACCAAGATGTCAACTGACTTCTAAAGAGAAGAGAGCATTTAGATGCTATAGTACCAACTATTTAGGCCATTACTATTTTCTACGGCTCAGAATTTTGATAATAATAAAGACCGATTAGATGGGAGATTGTCCAAGTTCATCCCATATGCATACATACATACATGCATACATGCATACATGCATACATGCATACATGCATACATACATACATACATTACATACATACAAAACAAAGGTTTATAGCAGCTGCTACTCTAAAGTATGCCCAGAGAATGATCTGCCCATTAACCTGGAGTTACGGAATGATCCTTTAGCACAGTGTTGTCACGTGACATATCGTGACTTCACACACACCCCCTTTGCTAAATTGGGGGAAATGCATCTGGGCCATGGGCCACGAGTTTGACACCCCTGCTCTAGCAGATCATTAGCACACTAGCCAAACAGAATAGCCAAACATAAATCCCTTTTGCATCCTGGGTATGCAGAGTTAAATACCAAACAGGTCAATGAAATCTTAACCATTTCTCATGGGGCAACCTCAGCATGGATGTTGAAATTCTCAAGATAAAAAAGTGGTATTCCAGAGCGATAAGAATTATCACCCTGGATAGAGTTTGTTGTTCAATGGTGCACTGAGTGTATCCTTACATTTTCTCAGCTGCCTGAATACAGCAGCAAATATAGAAAATTGGCAGATGTGTTGGATGGAGCTTGACCAATAAGATGAATATAGTTGCTGCACCTCCTGGCACCTTTTTAAAGAGTCCATGTCTTTCTTTGGGTTTGTGTGATAGCTGCATCATCCCAGGAAAATGTTTTCATTACTTAAAAAGGCACATGCCTTTGCCACCACATCCTTAACACTTCTTTAACTCAAAACACATTCTTTCCTGATATCAGGAAAAGGTGCAGCAAGCCATTACCATATCCCTTCCCAAGCATTTCTTCTATAATTTGGATCTGAATAGCTGCACAATCCTGTAAGATTCCCATAACATCTAGTGTGATCAGACTAGCTTTGAAATAAAGACTCTTCTACAACTCGTCACTCCTAAAAGGAGACCCATGTTAAACTGTCTGGAATTGATTGAAATTGCAGCCCCCAAACATCTGAAGGCACCAGATTGCCGCAGATAAAACAAATATATCCCACTGACAAATTTCATATCTGCACATCTTTGGGCCATACTCTTTACTATTTCCCTCTTCTACCCTCTTCTATTATTCATTTAGCTTACTGTGCTAACTTTAATTTTCTGCCGCTTTTCAGTTATCTGCTATACAAAGCAGTTCGCATCAGTAAAAGGTTGACCACTGACATAAAATAAGAACTCTGCACATCTTGAACAACAGGAAATCAAGTCAAGAGGTGCAGCTGTCTTTTCCAGAAAGAGATGGGTTAAGCAACTGCAGCAATGATGGTGTCATAGACAGAACTTGGAAAAGATAGTACCAAATCCTGCAGCTGCTTTTGACAGAATCTCTCTCCTTCGTGCCATTTCTTACTCTGAAAATTTAGCAAATTCCATTAAGCCTTCTTCAAGTTAAGCTCAACTTCTGGACAAACATCATCCACTTTTGTTACTGTCTTTTTTCTTGGGGGTGGTGGTGGTGGTGGTTTTTGACTTCCAAAGTAAATTATGGCTGGTATTTCTGGTCATCTAGATCCAATACTACTTAGCTTTTAGAACAGCCAGTAGCTGGGCAGACTCCTTGGTAATTTTTAAACCATTCTCAAGGTTGTAAACGTGCAAAGATTGTACAGTACATAAAGGAGATGCTGACTGGGAGTGGAGTTGTGCTTATGCTCAAAGGACTGGTGTGTAGTTAGGGAGTGTTTTTTAACCCGTGCTTTCATTCAGTTTGTAGGTCAGAGCAATGGTTTTCTAAGATGTATTTGGTTCCTATCTTCCCAGGATGTAGGAAGTTGGCAAAACATCTTTTTCTACATTTTATTTCATGATTTAAGTTTGGTTTTACTTTGGTAAGCACCTATTTTATTGTCATTCTTTATTCTCTCCACCTTTGTTGCAAAATGTTTTGAGTACTGGAGTTAATGGAATAGTAGGGCATCAATGCAATAATAATGCGGTAGCCACACTTACCTTAAAACTTTCATGGTTGCCATCATGATAAAGACTTATGACAAAGTTCAGTTTTCACACTAATCATTTGGCTGATTTGGATAGAGTTGCACCAAATTAACTACTGTGGTTTAGTCCATATGAGTCCAAAGACTGAAAGTGACTCTAAAGTGCCTGGATAGTTGAGTCAATCTTCTGATTTGCCAATACCTATCATTCTTGACATTGCTAAGAGAATGAGTGAGTTCTGGTTTGTATAGTAGACCTTGGTTAAACAACATAGGTTTTGTGAACTCTTAAAAAACACAAAGGCATATATTTGGTCATCTGTTTTAAAATTTATGGAAGTGGATTCTATAATACACGTTTTATAGCATCTACCGGACGATAAAAGAGCATAGATGAACAGGGCAGGAACTTACTGATATTCTCTGTAATGAATACTCATGTGGTTTTAACTTATATCTTGGTACAAAATTATGGATATGATTTCCTAAGAATCCACATACAGTTGTTTGGAAGTAAGAATATAGGTATACCAAGGAGAGATTTAACCCTTCCCTCCCCCTTCTAAATCCTTAATGAAAATCATTCTATAAAAGCATCATTTGCATTAAGAAAAAAATTCCATTGGTATCAACTGAAATTTTATCCAGGTGGAAACCCACAATTCAGAAGAGTAATTTTCATGAGGGTTGCGGGAAGGAATATTAAATTCTCCATCTTGTCTGCTGAATTTTTGATAACTGCTGCTATTCCACAGCAATTATTTGCATGTTAAAGGTCATGCATGTTACATACAAAAAATAATTAATAAATTATTTGGATCCCATGTTAGAATTGAAAAGAGTTACGTAAGTATATAAATGCCATTGTGGAATTTATTTACAGTCCAGCCTGCCATAAAAATGCAAATATAAATTGTTACACAATTATTGAAGAATAATTGGAAGATTAATTTTATCCAGCTTTTTGTATTATCCTAAAAATCTCTTCCAATACCGGAATTGGAATGAAGTAGTTAAATGTACTTGTTTATTCAGCAACAACATTCTTAACAAATTGACATATAAAGGACCTTTAAGAGCAGGAAAGTGAAATATGTTGAGACCTCCCTTTCCTCTTATTGCATTGCAATCCCTTGATGTAGCTTTTATTTAAAATAGTTTACGTAAATAAGTTGGTAAACTGAAAATAGCTGCTTTTAATTTAAAAAAAAGTACAAATCCATCTGATAATATGAAATACTAAACCATACTGTTGATACATGGGGCCTGGGGAAACTGCCTATTTTTTTTAAAAAAACCTAGCTTAAATCTGCCATGTACACGTACAGCATTTAAGTAACTGGGTATTGCAATTTTAGAAAAACAAATTAGGAGACCTAGTCTGAGTTCTGTGACTCTGTTATTTGGTCTTTACCAGATAAATTTGGCAGGGTTGTCACATCGGTTTCTATAACACATACTTGCACTACTAAACTTTATGCCAGCAAGAAAGTTAAGATGCTAAAAATAAAGAATGGAAAGTGTTGTGACCTTTTTGAAGAGAAAACAAGAATGAATGCATGAAAGCCTATTTGCCAATTTGAAAACAATTTGGAATGCTTTGTTAACACACCCTAAACCATGACCCCAGTTGGAACACTACAATCTTAAAGAATAAATTAGAAACCACAGTTGAGCAGATAAAATTACAAGTAGCATAGATTTGGAAACTATATAATAAGGTATGCATCGGCTCTAGTTGTTGATACCCAATAGTGAACAATGCCGAACAAATCTCAAAGACCTTCCAATAATAGTTTTGAAAAGAGAAGAATGACTTATGGGCATCCTGAAAAGTTTGTGGCTTCATATTGATTTTCATCTATTTATTTTGATAATATACAGCAGATGATGATTACTAAACTATTACTTTTAGAGAAAATGTTTATTTCTACTCCCAAATGGCTCTCCCTAACCTAACCATTCAGACTGAAATAAAGGGAAATTTATTTAGGTTAAATATATGGGAAGATTTGTCATCATAGGAAGACGAGGTAATATTGGCAAGATTCTCTGTTGGCTCCTTATTCACATATCAAATTAGATTGTTTTTGCCCAGTTTAAAAAAGGTATAATATAGTAAAACGATAATCCTGCCCAGAAACACTTATGACTGGGCAGGATTCTAATAGATGATTGTAACCAATTTCTGATCAATACTTATTTGGAGCAAGCAATGCACTTTGAAGCTACTATTAAAGATGACCCAGAAGTTATAACAATGTAGCGGATATGTTTCCTGATAGGCCAACTCCATCATGTGAGAATAACTTATCTGTTAAGAGGCCCAATTGAATTCAAATCTGCAATTTGCCAAAATCTTATCTCCTCACCTTGTCTGGTCATCTTCATAAGGAGGCAATAATGGTCACTCCTCATGAAGTTTTTGAGCCAAGGAAGCCTCCAAAAGGCGAAAAACGGCCAAAAATCAGCTGGCCAGCACACACATGCACGCTGGAGCTGACAGGGCAACGCCTTGCGTGCCCTCAGAAAGAGCTCCGTGTGCCACCTGTGGCACACTTGCCATAGGTTCACCATCGTGGCTCAACACTAAAGGCATTTCTAAAACTAAGCAAAAAAATGTTGTTCCAAAAGATATTTAGCCCTTACTATAGTTTAACTGAATGGTACTTACAATTTGCTAGATTGGTATTAACTATCATCTTTAATACGTTTGGATTATGGCAGATTAAAAATATTGTTAAATAAATAAATATTTGTTATATGAGGTATCCACAACCAAGTCTCTGATTCATTTTTCTGTGTTGTATCACTGTTGTGTATCTTGGATAGGCTGTGATCAATGTACAGAAAATCCTCTCACTAGTATCTACTGAAGAACTTCCAGAGCACTTGTAGACTTGATTTTCTTCAACCATGATCTTGCCTCTTATGAAACTTCATTATCAGCTCATAAAATGTCTTTTGCACCCTTTTGCTTAGCCATTTGCTTCTTTCTCTTTCTCCCACTACTAGGGAGAAATGACATGGGTACTTTTCAGGGCTACCAACTGCTTCCAGCATTTTTCCATCTCAATGTGTGAGGTTGTTTTGGGTAATAAGCGTTTAGAGTCTTTTTTTAAAAAAAGCTGATCTTAGTAATTATCTAACAAATTTCTCTCTGAAGCAGTCAGTTCCGTAACACTGTATTCACACTTTTGTCACTTATGGTTTGGCAATGAAACAGAATGGTAGTACCTAGGATATTTCCTTTAAATTTGGTTCGTTTATATTATGGAATATCAAAGGTGCACACATTTGGGTCTTTCTGTCTTTTATCTTCACAGGAGTAAACTGAACAAATAGCCTTGGGACTGTGTATCTTGAAATTCAGTTGTAAACTCTCTTAAACATACAATATAAAGTATTACAAGCAAAAACTATCATTAAATATGCAAGGGACCATCTTAAATGTTAAAATAGTAAATGTTAAATTTCTTATTGAAAGTATGCAAGAGTTTCAAAAATACATTACACTGATATTATACTGACATTATAAAGCCAACACAATATAATAATAAGAAAAAGATATGTTCATTGGTTATGGACCACCATAATAGTAAACTATTATAAAAACCACTCAAAACAAAATGTTTCTTAACAGAAGTTGCTCTCTCCCTGATTAGCCTTGAGCAATCTGTTTAATTTTTCAGACAAGAACTATGAGAGAACAAACATAATCAAGCCTGAAATATTAGAGATTTCTGAGCTCTGTATAGGATAAGGACTTTGAACATTTTATCTAGCCCTGACATTAATGGAGGAACAACTAAGTCTACTCAAATAAATTAATTCTGGGGGAGGTTTACAATTCATTGCTTGAGTAAACCAAACAGAACGTAAACATTGTAATAATTTGGAAAGTGTTATAAATCTGATTACACTACTTCACCTTTTGAAGAATTTGTCTGTTAAAATGAGGGTTTTTTTAAAAAAGAAAAAGAAAAATGAGCTGAAGCCTGAAAAAAGGAGTGCTATTTCAGTGTTTTTTTAAGTTACCAAACTGTAACTTACACCTGACCACATATCTCAAAATAAAAACAATTAGTTTTCTTAGAGAAACAGATATCATGGGAAAAAAGCGAAATACGGGCATGTGGCTTTTTTCTACTGAAATTGTCATTCCACAGTTGTTTTCTTTTCCCTATCCTCTTCCTCCCCAGCATTCATGGCCAAAGCAAAACATAATCCTCACAGAAAAACATTAAACAATCCTCACACTGAAGAAGATAAAGAGAAATAACAGGTAAGCGTACATATGCACATTTAAATAATTTCTTGCAAGTTCGCTTTGTCCTACAAAAGACAGTAATCAAAGTTAATGTATAAACCTACTTGTAAATTGCATACTGTAAATACAGTGAGTAATTTGACCCGAAGCATTTTCTAGATGACCTTGGCTATCTTGAAATAAGTTAAGATGTTGTGGACCTGGTTAGTACTTTAATGGGAGACTGCCAAAAATATTAAAAAGCTTAAGCTAGGCTAGGAAATTGCAAATAATCAAACCACAATTATACAGTTGTTAAGAAAACTACGTTGATGTTGACCACACAGTCATCATAAATTGTCTGCAGCGTGAGATTTTATATAGAACATATTTTTCTAAAAAAAAATAAAAAATAAAATATCTGAGCAAAGTGATACTTTGTTATTTACAGCAATACAGTTGTAACTGAGCACAGAAAGTATAATTGTAAAATATTGAAAAAAAGATACTGTGATCTGTTCTTTAGATCAATATTGATGAGCCCAGAACCCTTGCAAAATATGTTTTCCAACATGCAAGACCAATTTTCATAGAAAAGGAAGTCATTCTTCCAAGGATGTATTGGTTGCTCTTATAATGTAGACTGATTAACATTTTGGGAGAGCCAGATGTCATTTAATAATATATTTCAAGCAGGAATTAGGAAGCTTTGCAAGATAGCCCCTACTGTGTTTCCTTCCTTTTTCTGGAGACAACTGATTCAAGATGTACAGTATTTCCTTTCCGGTCTCCAAAATGTTATTTGCGCTTTGATCAAGAGAACTAAATATTAATTCAACTTGATAGAAAAACCTTTGAACTAAACCGGGATACCAGCTATCAAATTATTCTTTGGGGAACATGACTGTGGTTCCATGGTTATCACTTGGACTGAATAATTGCTTTGTTCCACACTCCAAGCCCGGTCAAGGTCCACCAGTCCCATGCATTGTTTACCTAAAATATATGAACAGAATATATGTATATATTTGTAATTGTTATAATATTATGTATAGAAACAAGCATTTTGGCAGCAATTATATTATAACATTTTTAATGAGACACTTCTCCTGTAGGAATATTGCTTTCTCTGTATCCTAGGCCCACACTCCAAAGACCTTTGCAGTAGTTAAAGCAATCTAAATGGCGTTGTATCTACTATTCTTTTAAAATTCTGAAAGCCAGTAAAGATGTTACACTTAGACTTGGAGAGACCCAAATTCCAGATCTCCCACAATCATAGTAGCTTACTGGTTAACATGGGCCAGAAATCTCTCATTGTCACCTGTCCTATAGGGTTATAGTTGGAAGGAAATTGGAATGTATTTTGGGTTTCTGGAGGCATATAACAATAATATTATAATAATTGACAAAATACTAATACCTTTGAATGCTACTTTGTAATCTATCTTTGGTCTAAATAAAGTTTTACACATTGACTAATTTTATACATCTGGTAACTACCATGCTTTATATTGTATACAGAGGTAAATCCCTGTGATAGTCATATCCAGAGACAGAATGGTATGGAAATTATTTTCATTTTGTCAAGAAACTGAGAAAGTAGAAGTAACAGAAGAGATTTTTTTTAAAAAAATGTATGGTTTGAAAGAGTAATTTGGGTGGGAAACATAACAAAAGTCTTAAAGGGAGGGAGTAGACAGCACAAATTTGAGCATTCCTTGGTAAATATTTTAAACTGAGTCCCACCAGTTCAAAAAACATTACTTTCAGGGAGCACTAGTTAAGATTAAGCTTAACTGCACCCCCGTGTATTTCAGTACCTGTTTTTAGGGAACATGTGTTTCGTGCTAATCCGATCTGACCTTCCCCCCACCCCACCCCCAGTCATCTGAAAATAAAACTACACACCCATTTGCAAGTTTAAAAGGTGAAGAAAGACGACTGAAATAGAAAATACTTTTAATGGAGCCTAATGTCAAGTATCACATCAGAACTAACAAGACAAGTATAAGAGCACAAAAGTTAGAGGGAGGGAAAGAAGGAGATTTCAGAAATATATCCTTTCCTTATTTTATCTGTGAAGGGACTGCTGAAATGCTGAATCAACATTTAAAAGCGCACAAAGACACAGCCATTCCACCCATCCTTATGTGACACATTTCCTTTCTATATCACCAAAGTATTGGAAAAGGTGCTCACTCCCAATTGGTGAATGACACCTTTCAAAGGCACAGCTGTGTTGATAACAGCATAATTGGGCTAACTTTAAAATCTGTCAGATTTACTGAGAGATACAAAAGGTTAAAATATCTTGGAATTTCCTTATGTACTCTGAACCACAGAGACTGAATATTTTATGCAGGTGTCAAAGCAAATACTTGTACTGTTGTTAACACCTCTGTTATACAACCTGTAACTAAACACTTAATTGTTAGAACAATTAATCAGTGGAACAACTTGCCTCCAGAAGGTGTGAATGTTCTAACACTGGAAGTTTCTAAGAAGAGACTGGACAACCATTTGTCTGAAGTGGTATAAGGTTTCCTGCCTGATCATGGGGTTGGACTAGAAGACCTCCAAGGTCCCTTCCAACTCTTTTATTCTATTCCTTTCATTAATATCCATCCTCATTTTTTCTCCTGATTAATTATGCACCATCAAGGCATTGCTTTATCTTAGCAATCAGATAATTTTTTCTGTTACTCATTGCAAATATTTTATGTCAAATGTTTATGGTTCACTTTTGGATCACATGGCTTCCTTAGATATTTAATAATAATTAAAAAATAATATAAGCTAGAATAAAACTGTAGAACTTCATTTAAAGTTTTAAAAATAGTCAAAATTAGCATTAGAATTTAGTCAACAGTCAGTTTTTCAAGGCAAAACAATTAGCTTTGATATAATCAAACAATCTCAAGCTCCAAGACTAATAGGCATAAAGCAAAGTGTTTGTTACAGAAAGCATAAGAGATAGAAGAAAGAAGTAACTAAAATTAGAGTGGGGATAAATAGGGAGCTGTATCTTCATGCTAACAGACAGCAATCAGTCCATAGTGAGTTACTGGTATGCCATAAAGATTCCTAACTAGCTATGCCTGTCATATGTCTTAAAGACATAAACTAAGGATGAACCTAGAGCCTGGTCAAGCTATGCCATCAACTATTTGAAAATTGCCTGGATCTTACCAGTAAAATCAATATTTTCTGTTCCGTTCTGCCTTATAGTGAACCTAATAATTTGTGTTGGTTGGCCTACCAGTCTTTTGTAATTGTAAATAATGCCTCATTTTATTTTTTAAAAACTTTATAGTGCTATGTCTGATTTATTGATTTAGATAGTATGATTTCTATACTATCCATACTAAAAGCACATTATTGTTTGCTTTTTATGAGTCATTGACCACTTTGGATATCTATCTATATATTATACATGATTAAATTGTTCAATGTTATAAATGTTTAGCACAAGGAACAGTCTGTGGTTGAGTGTGATATTATTACCAGAAAATCAATTTCACAGATAGCACTTATTGTATATCTATCAGAAGAATAAGGAAATAGATTTTGCAGAGAGAAGGAGAGAGGAGGCATGGTTGATAAGAGATTGGAATAGTACATACACTATTATAACTTCTTTTTAATAAATATGTCCCAACCACCCATTAATAGCAAGCTAATCACATCACCAAATACAGTGCATATAATCTCCACAACAGCTGTTCTGCAGAAAAGCATACCTATTTGCCTGCGTTCAGGGGGCAACTGGACAGCTGTCTGATCAGCAAATCTGCAAAGAATCATGTGCTCCTAGAATAAAACACACACGCACACACACACAAAAGGTCACAGGGATTTCTTTTTACTCCACAAAAATAATTATTTTAAAAGGAGTATCCAAAAAAGAAGGTTTATCTGTAGTTCTATTTAAAATTATTATCAGAAGGTTTTGGGTTACACTGAAAGTTAATGAAAGAAGGCAAGGGAAAATTAACCCAACGTTTCTCTGACTCAGTCAAAACTGGATACAGCTACTATAACTGCAAATGAAAACAGCAGGATTTCTCCACTGGCAAATATTTTTGGGAAAAGGGAAGGCTTGCTTCAGGAAACATATCCCGGACTGTATTTTTACCTCTTTGCTTTTACTGTTAAAACAGTAAATGACTTTAGCCCACTTGTAATGCCTTTTGTATTATTATTTTGTGCCTTCACCTTCATTATTCTTGACTTTTAGATAGGCATACTACTTTGAGATTCAGTACAAAACTCCCAGATGAATTCATAATGCTGTACTATGAGCTTTTGAAGGTTTGATTTGTTTGGCTATTAATCTCTACCAATAGAGATTAACTTTCTCCCTAGAGTGTGGAACTGGGATTCATTAATGCCAGCCACGTGTTGTAATTGACTGAATACATTGTGCATCACGTGCTTCCTGCAGAGAAGACCTTAGAAGTGGGTATATATAAGGTCTACTCCCTGTTAAATGAAATGGTAAAGGTTAATGCCATGACAGTATTTGTATTATTTTTATTTTTTTCAATGTATGCTTTAGTTTATAGAACAACTATTTATTTTTTGTGCTTCAATGACTAGTTGGCTTAGACCTGTGATGGGGAACTTATGGCACGTGTGCCAGAAGTGGCACGCAGGGCCATCTCTCAGGGCACACCAGCTGTCACCCGTGGATCTTCCGGATTGGTCTTCACGCACGCATGCATGCCAGAAACCAGAAGACCAGCTGACCAGAGTACATGAGCACACTGGAAACTGTAAGCTCAGCTTCCCAGTGCGCGCACTGCTCTTCTGGTTTTCGGCACGCCTTTGCATGCACGCTACTCGGTGCCAAAAGGCTCACCAACACTGGCCTAGACATTGGTATTTGAACATTTATATTTTATTGTGTTTTATTAATCTAGGTGAAATGTTTATATTGCTAGTCCCTGTATGAAATGACACACATACAATGTACACATACCCTGATCACAGTGTTTTTGTTTGTATGTTTATTTAACAGTGTAATTCAAAATAGAATTAAATAGAAATAGAATTTGATTTCCCTACCATTGGCAGAAATAACACTAACTAACTATTTTCAATTCTAAATGTCTGGGAAACAGAAGATAAATGTAATATTTAGAAAACTGCCATAATTGGAATGAAGCCTCCCTAGATATGTTAATGGATTTAGGTGTGTAAAGTGCTTCCTCTTAGGAAACATTAGCTTAAGTGAGGAAACTGGTTATTTAAACCAAGACTTTCTATTCCAAAAAAAAGTTTTATCATCTGGATATTTATTCCCTTAATGGAACAAAATCATTTTATTAAGTTGTACAGCACATTTTCCTAATTTCTCTGGTATCCTCTGCATACAGTCATGATATCACATAGCTCATGCTCTAAGTGTAAAAAGAAACTGATTGAATGCCTCTATTCCCAAGTATATATCTTAAGATGAGTCAATATTTGACTCATCAATGCAAATAGGGAGACCACTTTATCTAAAAGGCCTGTAAGTGGAAAAATGGTAGTTTAATAAAAAGTTAATCATTCCATCATGTTTCCCTTGCTCCTCTTTTCTAAATAGTTCTATGTTACATATATGTGCATTTAAAATTTAAACAATATAAGGATACAAGGAATTTTCTATAAGAAAATTCACATACTCTCAGTGACCTCAATTTACTCTGGGTTGTTGTTACTACCATTCTGAACAAAAAAAAAAAGGATATAAATGCTTTTAGTTTCATTTGATAAATTTAAAAAAAAAACAGGTTGGGATAAACTATGGCATGTGTGACAATGTCTAGACACCAAGTTGGCTTCATAGGAATAATTAAAAGCATATCAATCCAAACTGGAAGGGTTCTCATTAGGGCTGATACTACCAAGTTGTAAGATATAAACTTGGAATTGAGACACCATCTGGTGTAGATTCACATAAAATGCTACAAATAAATTGGACTGATTTTGGAATGTCTTCCTGGCACAAATGTCCTTTTTTAAAAAAAACCTGTTGTACATTTATGAAAACAATCTGTTTCTTAAAACCTGCAATGTGTCACTATGACACATTTTCTTAACTTCTGAATTTGCTATTTTCTTATCATTGCAATATTCAATGAATTCAATGAAATAGGAATTTTTAGAAATTTTAAAAGTGGAAAAATATACCGTACTCACGATAGAAAAAAGTTTAAAATAATTTACATTAGTAATGTTTTATTTATTTTTACTTAAATAATACTTCCAGTCCAAACACGTGTGAAGTAAAATGTTGTCAAAACACAAAAAGAAATGTAGAATGTAAGTCTACATCTTTTTTTTTTTTTAATTTCAGGACATGTTAAGGTTATGGACATGCCCATTGCAGTGAATGTATCTAGAAAATAACTTTTGTAAATGAAATGCCTTTTAAGTCTACTGCTATATATATATAAGTGGTTTCATCTAAATAAATGTTCAGAATAAATTAATAAATTATGTGAAAAGATTAATTCTCTGTTCTTCGTCCCACTTCCTTAGTTGTGAAATATATATATATATATATATATATATATATATATATATATATATATATATATATATATATATATA